GCGCACCTCGACCTTATCGTCACCTCTGTCAATGAGCTTGCTTAATCTCGATCCACAAGTCACCGAGCGTGCTCCAGGAGGCCGGCTTTCTGTGTCGCTGTCTGGTCCAACCCTTGAAGAGCACTTCTGATTCCGTCCAGAAACGTAGCCGACCTCGAGTTTTCAACATCGCGGAGACGAAGGCCGAAGCTTCTGCCCTGTTGTTGGTCTGCCTGGGCCCGGCAAGAGGGGCCCAGGCTCCTCCACGGATGGTGGGCTGGAGGGGGTCGTCGACCCCAAGCGCCACCCAGGCCCAGCCGCAGCGGCGATATCGCGCGTCGCTGGCTTCAGCGCCGCCGCTCCCGTCGCCGCAGGCCTCGGGGGCCTGGCCAGGCGGCGCCTCGGAGGAGGAGGAGCGAGGAGCGAGGAGCGAGGAGCGAACAGCAGCAGCAGGCTCACTCTCGTCCTCCCTCCCTCCTCCCCCTTCCCTTCTCCCCCCATCGCGCGGGCCCACGACGGGGAGACATGGCGCCCGAGCGCTCTGGGGCAATCTCTGGAGCGGCCGCCCCGATGTGGCCCGGTCTGGCTTCGGCTCGGCCCCGGCCTCGTCCCCCGCCGAGGGGCTCCTGGTGCAGGTCGCGGCCCCCGAGGTCGTGACAGCTTCCCTGTTGCCGGTCCGCTGCTGCGGGCCGCGCACTGCCCGCCTGGCTTTGGAGGGGGAGGAGGAGCAGGAGGAGGAGCAGGAGGAGGAGAGGGAGGAGGAGGCCCCCCCCCTCCAACTTATGCTGGTGGTGGTGGGAAACAGCCCCATCACGACGTTGGGCGTAGGTTTTCGTCCTGGATTCATGTTTGATGGTCCCGGGGCCTGATCACGGGCCCCAGAGATGAGCAAAAGTCGGGGGCGGCAGAGAGGGGGGGTGATGACTAGGGGGGGGGGATATCATGGCGGGGGCCATGATATCTCCCCAGATTTCATGGCGCCTCTTCTTACTTCATTACGTCCCTGGCCCCCCCGCTGGGCCGCGCACATGCCGCCGGTCATGATTTGCACCCCCCCCTCTTGGACACCCCCCTCTTGGCCGCTCCCGAAAAAGGCCAGTTGGCAAAATTCATCATCGTCGGAGATTCGGGTCTTGCCCCCGTCGCCTTCGCCTTCCCTCCCCCTGGTCGCCCCTCTTCTCAGTATCGTTTAACCGATCCTTACCCCCATCCCCATCAATCCCGAGCCCCACCACCGAACCACCCCAGTTGGGGATATATCCCTCGAAATCCGAAAGTAACTGCCCATATCCCCATCAAGGGGGGTATATCGGCCAGTGGAGCCCAGGCCACGCCGGTGGGGGTAGGGATCGCTTCCCGCTCGGCCTCCTCGCCCTCCTCCTCCTTCTCCTCCTCCTCCTCCTCCTCCTCCTCCTCGTCCTCCTCTTCCTCCTCCTCCTCCTCCTCTTCCTCCTGCTCCTCCTGCTCCTGCACCACATCCTCCTCCTCCCTCCTCCCTCCTCCTCCTCCTCCTCCTCCTCCTCCTCCTCCTCCTCCTCCTCCTCCTCCTCCTCCTCCTCCTCCTCCTCCTCCTCCTCGTCCTCGTCCTCGTCCTCGTCCTTGTCCTCCTCCTCCTCCTCGCCGCCCTCCCCGCCCGCCTCGCCCTCCTCCTCGCAAGGGGGGGGGGGGCGGGCAAGGTGACCCTGGTCTCGCACGCCACGCAGACGGCCGGCATGCCCCCGCGCCTCCAGGCCGCCGCGCTGTCCCGGGGTGGCCTCGCCGGGGGCGCTGGCTCTCCGCAGTGAGCGGCCTCTCGCCGGGATCGGGGGCGGCCAAGAAGAGGACCCCCTGATGTCATTGGTCCTGGCTGGCCGCCACAGGGGGGGAACGAACAACACACACCCATACCCATAGGAGGGTGGAAGGAGGAGGACTGGCTATGGGTATGGGTGCGAGCTGTCGGACCCTGGGGGAAGCTCCCGTTCGTGCGGGGACCCCCATCCGACAACACGCACCCATAGCCTCCTCCGTCCCCCCGATGGGTATGGGTGCGTGGTATCAGTCCTGGCTGGCCGCCGCAGCAGGGGAACCAACCATGGCACAGACGTGAAAACTCGGAGGTCCGCGCGGATTCCTCTGGGGGGCCACGTGGGAACCCTGCCCCTGCCCCCCACGATTTCGGAGGGGGAGTGTGGGATTCACTTCGCTCGTGGCCCCCTCTCCTCGGATCGGCGGGGCGCCTCCGGGCGGCGCCTCCTCGGATCGGCGGGGCGCCCCCTTGGCGCGCTCCGCGCGCCAGCGAGGGGGCCCCCGCGCCGATGCGAGATTGTCCGCGCGGACCGCCGGATGTTATGTTTACTGTCACTGCTCGCTCCCCGACAAAACATCCCTCGATCCCCCCCGTCCCCTTGCGCCTCCGGGCCGCCGCTAGGGTCAGGAGGGAAAAAAAACACAGGGAAACAAACGCACGGGCACAATTGATCGTCGATTCCCCGGAAAGTATGGGAAAATATGGGAGGTGGGGGGGAAGGCAAAAACCCAGAAAATATAGGAAAATATGGGGAATCCTTTTATTTGTGCGTATTTATTTTTTATTAATCGCTTCGCTCATTCCGCCGGCCCGTATTGTGCCATCGCAGGCGTTTGCTTGCGCGTTCGTGGCCTCTTGGAGCCTCGTTGGGGCCGTTTGGGGCCTCTTGGCGCCTCTTTTTAGGCCTCTTGGAGAACTCGGGAGGCCTCCAGGGGGCCTCCTGAGCTCTCGTGACGGTCTCTTGGGGGGCTTTCGGCGGGCTCTTGGCGGTATTTGTTGGTCCTCTTGGGGCCTGGGGCCTGACGTTGTTGGTCCTCTTGGGGCCTCACGGGAGCTTATTGGGGCGTCTTGGGGGTGTCTTGGAGAGTCTCTTGGGGCCTCTTTCGGGGTCCTGGGCGCCTTCTGGGGCGGAGGGCTCGATTTTTCAGTTCTCGGTTCCCTTCTTGAGCCCCTCTTGGGCCCGTCTTGGGGCCTCTTGGTCCGCCTTGGGCGGCACTTGGGCCGTCTGGGGGGCGCTCTTGGGCCGCTCCGGGGCCGTCTTGGGAGCCTCGTGGGCCGTCTTGGAGCAGTCTTGAAGGCCTCTTGGGCCCTCTTGGAGCGTCCGGAAGCGAAAAGGCCAGAACGCAAAAAAACATCGAAAAAACCAATGAAAATCAACGATTTTGGCAACTTGGGGCCCTCTTCGGAGGCCTCTTGGAAGGCCCTTGGAGCGTCTTGGAGGCCTCTTGGGCTGTCTTGGGGCCATCTGGGGC